GCTGCTGCTGCTGCTGCTCTTCCATAATCTAGAGGAGGGGCTTTGCTTCTGCTGCTGCTGCAGGAGACCCCCAGCAGCCCCTCCCTTGCATGAAGAATAAAGTGCCTAGGTGCAGCAGCAGCTAGAGCTGCTGCTGCTGCATCCGGCTCTGCTGCAGCAGCAGCAGCAGCAGCTGCTGCTGCTGCTGCGTTGCACTGCAGCAGGAAACTCTCCACGGTGGCCTCCTCGCCTGCGATGCCCAGACGGCACTTCACGGATACTTCCACTTGCTGCTGCTGCTGCTGCTGTGCTGCTGCTGCTTGTATTGCTGCGCACATGGCAGCAACATTATGCGGCTGCCGCTGCAGCAGCAAACCGAAGCCTCCTGCTGCTGCTCTGCTGCTGGGGCAGCCGCAGTTGAGGTTGAAAAGCAGCAGCTGCTGTTGCTGCTGCAGTTTCTGCTGCTCGTCAGCTGCGATTGCAGCAGCAGCTGTTGCCGCTGCTGCTGCGGCAGTAGCATCAGCAGCAGCAAGCTGCAGCACCGTCCGGCTGTCTGCTGCAGCAGCTCTGATCTCTTCTACTGCGTGGCCGGGCAGCAGCAGCAGCAGCTGCTGCAGCAGCTGCTGCCTTTGTAGCGAGTGCGCGGGCTGCTGCGGCTGCTGCTGGAGCCGCTGCAGCAGCAGCAGCAACTGCCGGTGCTGCTGCTGCACTGGCAGCAGCATTTCTGTGTACAGCAGCAAATCTGCTGACAGCAGCCGCAGCAAATAGCGAAAGTGGCGATGAGAATACCCAAAAAGAGGAGCAGCAGCAAGACTGCCCACGTCCCCAGGCACTTTGCTGCTGCTGTTGCTGCTGCTGTTGCTGCTGCTGCCGCCCCTGGCGCTGTCGCTGCTGAGCTTGCCACTGATGCAGCTTTTGGTGTCCACTCTGCTGCTGCTGCTGTTGCTGCTGCTGCTGTGTGCATGTCCGCGAAGCACACGCCGCACGGGGCTGCTGCTGCTCCACTTGCTGCTGCTGCTGCTGCTGCTGGTCAAGGGTTTGCTGCAGCAGGGCATCAGGGGGCTAACGAAAGCAGCGGTACTTCCCTCGGTGCATTTGCTGCCGACTGCTGCTGCTGCTGCCAAGTGCAGCAGCAGCAGCAGCAGCATTTCCGGAGCTTGGACACATCCGCGAGCAGCAGTCGGAACACCACTACTACATCTGCTGCTGCTGCTGCTGCTGCTGTTGGCGCTGCTGTTGCTGCTGTTGCTGCTGCTGCTCTACCATCGTTGTTGCTGTGGTTGGCTCATTTGCTGCCGCTAGCGCAGTCTGCTGCTGCTGGCCTTGCTGCTGCTTTGCTGCTGCTGCTGCTGCTGCGGCTTTGCTGTTGTTGCTGTTACGCTGCTGTTGCTGCTGTGCTGCGGCTGCTGCTGCTGCTTTTAAGCCGCTGCTGCTGCTGTCCCGCTGCTGCTGCTTTTCAACCTTTTGTCTGTCGACATTTCCTGTCAGCATTAATTACTTTGCAGCCGAAACCCTAAACCCTAAACCCTAAATTCTAAACCCTAGACCCTGGAACAGGAAGCTTTGTAGGCGCTGGCCCCATTTCGTGCACATTGGAAAATAATTGGGGTTTAGGGTTTAGGGTTTAGCGTTTAGGGTTTAGGGTTTATAACTAGGGCTTATGGTTTTGGGCAGACACACAGCATTGCCCAGAGCTGAGTCCAGGGTCTAGGGTTTAGGGTTTAGGGTTTAGCGTATCCCGTTATAAGCAGCTTGCTTCGTATGTGTGACTTTAAGTGTAGGTGTTTTTTCCTAAATTTTAGGGTTTTTAGGGTTTAGGGTTTAGGGTTTAGGCTTTAGCTTTGGGGATTGCGTTGGCGGGGCCGGGTGCGACCGAACCGGTGAGCCACGGCAGCAAACCCTAAACCCTCGGATGAGAAAATTCTGTTTGCCAGGCTTTAAACTCTAAACCCTAAACCATAAACCCTAAACCTTAAACCCTAAACCCTTAAAGAGCATGATCTTCCCTGTGCTTTTCCGGGCCCACACCGCGTCGTTGTCAAGCAGTCAGACTAAGCCGTAAACCCCAAACCCTAAACCCTAAACCCTAAGCCGCATCGCTTCTTCATGCTATATTCTCGCATATTTTTCCCCCTGTTTTTCTCCACAACTGCAAACCCTAACCCCCTAAACCCTAAACCCTAGACCCTAAACCCCAATGAGCCGGAGGTCTTGCTAGCTGTTGAGCCGCCATGGGGTTGAAGAAGGGCTCTGTTGCTGCTGCTGATGCAGCAGCAGACACACAGCAGCAGCAGCAGCAGCTGCAGCTGCAGCAGCAGGACATCTTGGGTTGCAGCGGTGCGGGAAGCTTGCAAAGCATCAGCGACACAATCGACTTGCCCAGCAGCAGCAGCAGCAGCAGCAGCAATTGCTGCTGCAGCAGCAGCAGCAGGCTGTGGTGGTGCGCAGCAGCACTGGGGCTTCTTGCTGTTGCTGCTGGCTTTGCTGTTTGTGTAGCAGCAGCAGCACTGCAGCAGCTGCAGCAGCACTTTTCCCTCTGCGGCTCTCATTTTGCATGCGCTGAAAAAGGGGCTTTTGTTGCAGTTCTAGCCCCAGGAGCAGCAGTAAGAAACCCTAAACCCTAAACCCTAAACCCCAATCGCCAACTGCCGAACTCTTCAAGGAGCAGCTGCGGCAGTCTTAGCTGCAGCCTCTCAAACCCTAAACCCTAAACCCTGAAAGCGCCCTTCAACTCGCCGGGCGCTAACTGCGGGCTGCCCTTAAGGGCTTTGGGGTTTCTGCTCCAGTCACTTCACCACTCAGGGTTTAGGGTTTAGGGTTTAGGGTTTAGGGTTTAGGGTTTGGGATTTAGGGTTTGCGTGCAGGCGGGGAGCCTCTTTGGGGGTTTTGTGGCGGACACTGTGGGCCGCTGGCGTTCTCTTCTGTGGAGCTCTTTGGGGCTTTTGTTGGCCACAGCTCTCACAGTTTTGCCCAGCGACTACTCCGTGAGGGTTTAGGGTTTAGGGTTTAGGGTTTAGGGTTTAGGGTTTAGGGCTTGGGGTCTGTGGGGCTCTTTCCGGAGCCAGCCCCCCAACGCCATTTCGGCACTTGCGCTTCTCAGAGTGCAGGGTTTAGCGCGTTTGGGGTTTGCGGGCTCAGGGTTTAGGGTTTAGGGTTTAGGGTTTAGGGTTTAGGGTTTAGGGTTTGTGCTGCAGCTGGTGCTGCTGGGCCGTGCGCTGCAAGGGGTGTTTATGGCGGTGGGGTTGGTCTCGAGTTTCACTTTTGCTGCTGAAGTGGCTCCCAAGGATTTGCGGGGTTGTTTTGTGGCGCTGCAGGAAGTGCTGCACTGCATAGGTCCCAAACCCTAAACCCTAAACCCTAAACCCTAAACCCTCGTTTGTGGGGTGTGGGACAGGCTTTGACGGGCTGCGGCGCTGCAGTGCAGCGCTAGCAGGGTAGCTGCAACACTTGAAGCTTGTGCATTCACAGATTTAGGGTTCAGGGTTTAGGGTTTAGGGTTTAGGGTTTAGGGTTTAGGGTTTGAGTTCAGGCTGCTTTCTGCCCTACTTTGTTGCCTGGGCTTTCCCGGAGTTGCAGTGGAGAGGACTTGTGGGCATTGCAGGATTATTTGTTTCGATGATGGTAAACCCTAAACCCTAAACCCTAGCTCTTGAACAAGCTTGCTAGCGAATGCCCGATTGCCAGCGACAGAGCAACTGCTGTAAAAGACCCATGCTAGTTTAGCGTTTAGTCCTTGACTATATCCTTAGGGATTAGGGCTTAGGGTTTAGGGTTTAGGGTTTAGGGTTTGTGGCTTGCGCCTCAGATACTGTGCATGCCCTTCCTGCCGGAAAGCCCTCGCTATTTGCTGCTGCGCCACAAAGCAGCAGCAGCAGAAAGGGCAATGGTGCGTTTGGGGTATTCGGAGCAGCAGCGGCAGCAGCTGCTGCAGAGTGTGCAGCAGCAGCAGCAGCAGCAGCAGCAGCAGCAGCAGCAGCAGCAGCAGCAGCAGCAGCTGCAGCAGCAGGACACCGAGGACTTGGAGACGGAAGCAGCCTTGCCGCTGCCCCCTTCGGTGCCGGCCGCAGCCCCCTCCCCAGCAGCAACAGCAGCAGCAGCAGCAGCAGCAGCAGCAGCAAAGCCAAAGAGGGCCCGTCCCGCGTGGCTGGCGCTGCTGCTGGCTGGGGCTTTGGGGTGCATGCACAGCTTGCTAGCAGCAAATAGTCTCATTGTTTTAACTTCTGATTTGCTGCTGATTTTTGGGGTTTGCGACAACAAAGGGCCTGCCGCTGCAGTCAGCATGGCCAAGGTTAGGGTTTAGAGTTGAGGGTTTAGGGTTTAGGGTTTCGGGCTGAAGCCGTGCGCAGGAACAGGGTTTGGGGTTTGCGTTTCAGTGTAGAGGTGGCTCTGTGCTGCGCAAACCCTGCTGTTCGCAAGGCCGAGGGTTTAGGGTTTAGGGTTTAGGGTTTAGGGTTTAGGGTTTAGGGTTTAGGGTTTGTGCTGCAGCTGCTGGGGGCTATTGTCTGTTTGTTAATTGCTGATCGTGTGGGCCGCCGCGTGCTGCTGTTGGTGGGAGCTGGCGGCATTTGTTTGACGCATTTGGCCTTAGCTGTAAACCCTAAACCCTAAACCCTAAGCCCGAAGCCCTAAGCCCTAAACCCTAAACCCTACGTTGTGGTTTCTACGGCTTCAGTCTGCAGTGCGCTTCCTTAAGGGCCTACTGTTCTTACTGCTTCGAGAAACGCTAGACCCTAACTTGATTCCTCTAAACCCTAAACCCTAAACCCTAAACCCTAGCAGTCACCTGAAGCCTTTCTTGCCATTAGGAGTCGCTGAAAAGTGTGTGAACTGCAGCAGCACAACCCTGTTGCGTCAGGGATCAGGGTTTAGGGTTTAGGGTTTAGGGTTTCTGGTTTCAGGGGCTTGGCTTTATGCGGCGCCAGCTGCTGCCGGAGAGTTTGCTGCAGCAGTGCACAGCTCCTGCTGCTGCTGCTGCTGCTGCTTATACGCCGAAGGAGCTTTTTGCTGCAGCAGCTACTAGCGCCTGCAGCAGCTTCTTGCTGCTGCTGATGATTCTTATGTGGGGCGCTACCTGGGCCTGCATGGCCACAGTTGTTGCTGCAGAGGTACAAACCCTAAACCCTAAACCCTAAACCCTAAGCCCAAGACCTATTGCAGCCGCGCCCGCGATTGCCCTCAGCTGCATCTTCGTTGTGTTCCCTGTCCAGTTTGGTCGTGCGGTTTCATTCCACCATTCAGGGTTTAGGGTTTAGGGCCTAGGGTTTAGGGTTTAGGGTTTAGGGTTTGTGGCTGCAGCTTTCCCCGCCGCGCCACCGCGCCTTAGGGGTTGGAATCGCTGGAGCAGCAGGTTCTGTTTTAGCAGCAGTTTTCCAGCTTTATGGAGAGCCTTTGTTGGTTTATATTGGCATTGATAGTGAGCTAGGGATTAGGGTTTAGGGTTTAGGGTTTGGGGTTTGGGGTTTACGGTTTACGCCCCGGGTCAAAGGGTTTAGGGTTTTGAGCCAGGGGCTGGGGATTGAGGGCGAGAGGCTAGGGCGGAGGGCTAGGGCCACGCACGGGGCTAGGTCAACAGATTAGGGTTTAGGGTTTAGGGTTTAGGGCTTAGGGTTTAGGGTTTAGGGTTTGTGTGTTTGCGCGCAGTCAGCTTCCTCATCTTTGCTGCTCTCTCAGCTTCAGTTTTTATTTTTACATTTTTTTTGGTGCCGGAGCTTAAAGGAAAAGAATTGCATTCTGCGCCTGCCAGGGTTCTCGTAAACCCTAAACCCTAAACCCTAAATTATGGGTTGTAGACCCAAGCTGCGGGGGTGCGGCCGCTGCAGCCACACCCGCTGGGTCCTGCCTAAACCCTCAACCCTAAACCCTCCTCTTGCCTGTTTATTTGGGGCGCTGAGAAGGGTTTAGGGTGGCTTTGCACTCTTGCCCCGCATGGGGGTTTAGGGTTTAGGGTTTAGGGTTTAGACGCAGCGCTGACGTCCAGTGCTCAGTGCGCGGGAAAAGTTCTGCCGCAGCTGCTGCAGAATGAGTGCAGCAGCAGCAAATGCAGCAGCAACTACAGCAGCAGCAGCGGCAATTGCTGCAGCAGCAACATTTGCTGCAGGAACAACAATTGCTGCAGCAGCAAGTGCAGCAGCCGCAGCAGCAACTGCTACAGCAGCAGTAATTTCTGCAGTCGCAAAACTTGCTGCAGCAGCAGCAGCAACAGTATTTGAGTGTTTGAAGATTGCCTGCTAAACCCTAAACCCTAGTGCTAAACCCTAAACCTTCCTCCGCTCCCTAAACTCTAAACCCTCGATTCGGCAGTAGATCCACATCATGGGGCCCTCCCCAGCGCAAACCCTAAACCCTAAACCCTAGTCCTATATTTTGAGACAGCAAAAAATTGCTGAGGGTTTGCAGCAGCTAGCTGCGGCAGCTGCAGCAACGACCTGCAGCAGCTAGCTGCAGCAGCTGCCTGCAAGCAGCAGTAGCTAGCAGCAGCTCGCAGCAGCAAGCAGCAACCACCAGCGGCTAGCTGCAGCTAGCTGCTGCGGAACCCGTAGCCAGCTAGCTGCACAGCTAGCTAGCTGCACAGCTAGCTGCACAGCTAGCCCTACAGCTAGCTGTGCAGCTAGCTAGTTGTGCAGCTAGCTGTAGCTAGCTACGGCTAGCCACAGCTAGCCACAGCTAGCTGCAGCTAGCTGTAGCAGCAAAGAAGTGAATAAGAGTATAAAGATGTGGCTAGCTGCAGCTACCCACAGCCAGCCCTAGATAGCCTCAGCTAGCTAGCTAGCTGCAGCTAGCCACAGCTAGCTAGCTAGCTGCAGCTAGCCACAGCTAGCTAGAGCGGTTTGCGTCTGGGGCCTAGAATGGCTTCTTGAGTTTGCCTAGAGTGTGAGATAGGGGGCTAAGGCGTTCTCGCCATGCAGGGTTTAGTGTTTAGGGTTTAGGGTTCAGGGTTTAGGGTTTGGGGTTTAGGGTTTAGGGTTAGGGATTTTAAGTAGAGGGTTTAGCGTGCAGGGTTTAGGGTTTAGGGTTTACGGTTTAGGGTTTTGGGTTTAGCGTTCAGAGCCCAGCTCTGAAGTATCAGGGCATTCGTCTGGATCCTTAAAAACAATACGTAGCCTTTAACTTAGTTTTTGCTGTAGAGTTTAGCAGCAGCAGCAGCAACAGCAGCAGCAGCAGCAGCAGCAGCCGGATGACAAAGGTGAGCTGGCTGGGGGGCCCCTAGGGCCCCCCAGTATACTTTTGGTTGTTTTGTGTTCTGAATCTGATTTTGGATTGAACAGCGGGTTTTTAAGTGATGTTTAAGCCCTAAACCCTAAAAGAGGGTTTAGGGTTTGGGTTTGGCGGTGGGCGTCTGAGGATGTACTGGGTGTTCCCCGCGGAGATCAGGTGTCCATACACCTCATTCTATTCAATCTTTTTAAATTGATTTTATTTTCATTTATTTCTTTTCTTTCTTCTATTTCGACAGCAGCTATGGGGACGGAGGTACGCTACCCGAACCCCCAATCTAGGGTTTAGAGTTTAGAGTTTAGGGTTTAGGGTTTAGGGTTTAGGGTTTAGAGAGCGTGTGCTATATAGGCGGAGGCTTTGCTGCTGGAAGTGGGCGCCGAGATGGGCCGGACTGAGGAGGATATGCGGCCATTCATTCGCAAGTAGGGTTTAGGGTTTAGGGTTTAGGGTTTAGGGTTTAGGGTTTTGGGGCTAGGGTTTAGGATTTAGGGGCTAGGGATTAGGGTTTAGGGTTTAGGGTTTGGGATAATTGTGGAGCGTCATTCACAACAGTGCCCTACATTAACTTCTAGGATTGGGCGCAGGTGCTAGGGTCTAGGGTTTAGGGTTTGGGGTCTAGGGTTTAGGGTTTTACGCTTTCGGATTTAGGGTTTAGGGTTTAGGGTTTGCCTTTGGACTGCTTGCGCCCCTGTAGGATTGTAGAGGAAAACTGGCTGGAGACAAGAGGTTTGCTGCTGCTGCTGCTGCTGTTGCTGCTGCTGCTGGTGTTGCTGCTGCTGTTGCTGCTGCTGTTACTTCCGCTGCTGTTGCTGCTGCTGCTACTGTTGATTCATCTATTCCTGCTGACTCTATGACTCCGTAATCTGGGGTTTAGGGTTTAGGGTTTAGGGTTAAGGGTCTAGGGTTTGCTGCAGAGAGCTTGGCAGCTCTCAGCAACGAGCAGTGGAAGCAGCTGGGAATTCCTCTTCGTTTGGAAACAGCTCTAAGGGCCCGCCTAAACCCTGCTGCTGCTGCTGCTGCTCCTGCTGCTGCTCCTGCTGCTGCTGCTGCTGAAGGCAGCAGCCAGCGTGCAGCAGCAGCGCCGCAAGAGGAAAGGCCACAGTCAGAGAGCTGTAGGGAACGCTGCTGCTGCTGTTGCTGCTGCTGCTGCAGCTGCTGCTGCTGCTGCTGCCATAAATTTGTTGCTGCTGCTGCAGTTGGAGCTGCTTCGAGAACTGCTGCAGCTACTGCTGCTGTTGCACTTGTCTGTGGTGCCTGACCTGCTGCTGCTGCGGCCTGTGATGCAAGCCTTGCTGCCGCTGCTGCTGCTACAGCTGCTGCTGCTGCTACAGCTGCTGCTGCTGCAGCTGCTGCTTTGTGCCTTGTGGCTGCAGCGGGCACTCCCCGGGTGCTGTCCCTTCCCGCCCAGCAGCAGCAGCAGCAGCAGCAGCAGTTGCTGCTGCAGCAAGAGTTTACAGTCGAGAAAGGGGAAGCTCCTGAGGCCCTTTTTGCTTGTTCTATTGAAGACGCATTAGATTTGCTGCAAAGAAAAGTAAATAAGAATCAATTGCTGCTGCTACTGCTGCAGCAATAGAAGCAGCAGCACTTTAAGGAACAGTATCAGTTATAGCCGCAGCAGCAGAAGGAACGCCAGCAGCAGTTCTAGCAGCAGCAGCAGCAGCAGCAGCAGGTTTGCAGTGGTCCTCCAGCAGCAACTGCTGCTGCTGCAGCAATTACCCCACTTGCTGTTGGCGCTGCACTTGCTGCTGCTGCTTGACCCGCTGCTGCCGCTGTTGCTGCTGCACTTGCTGCTGCTGCCTGATCTGCTGCTGCCGCCGGACTTGCTGCTGTTGCTTGACCTGCTGCTGCTGCTGTTGCCACTGCACTTGCTGCTGCCGCTTGACCTGCTGCTGCTGCCGCTCCACTTGCTGCTGCCGCTTGACCTCCTGCCGCGCTGCACTTGCTGCTGCCAATTGTCCTGCTGCTGCTGCTGCTGCTGCTGCTGCTGCAGGTGTTGGGTGAGGACTTGAAGGCAGCAATTCGAGTGCTGCAGCAGCTGCTGCTGGGCGTTTTGGCGCAGCCGGCGAATCCAAAGAAAAGAAAAGTTCGC